ATATATATATATATATATATATATTTATATATTAATATATATAAATTATATATATAATATATATTATATATATATATATATAGTAAATTGTTTTTAGCGCAGGAAATTTAAAAAAAAAAGGATGGGACCATAAGATCCCTGCCACTGCAACTGTCCCCAAAACAGGTTGGTTACAGAAAAAACATTCATTTCCAACCTTACAATCATGGATGTATCAAATCATAACAAATATTCATCCCTCTTATCCACATGTACATACCATCCCATTAATCATAGAAACTAACAGTGCAAAGAGATCAAAACATTGTTTGTTACAAATAACCAAAGTAATTAAAAGACAAAACATCAGCATTTTCGACAATGTTTTTTATGCACAGAAACTTCATCATTTGCACTCTTCACGCTTCAGCTACATCTCTCCCATTGGCTTCAGAATTGTTAATACTTTTCTGGATCTGCAATTTGTTCTCCCGCAGCTCTTGGCCCCCCGTGCTCCCCTGTTTCTGCGCTTTTTATAGCAAACTCCCAAGTATTTTTCTGGCAAATGACCTATCCAAAAAGTCACAAAATATTTAGTTTTCCTCGAATGTTCCAAGGAATGTACTTTTTTGTTATGAACTTAAGCTTCTTTCATGCCACACAGACCATATCACTGCACTCGCATAGAGATCCCAAGGTAGTATGACATCAGTTTTAATAAATTTCATTCTCCACCAACTCCACAACTCTTTCAAAGTGACAAATTGCTCATGAACTTGGAAGCTATATCTGATAGAATTCCAGGTAGCTTTCACAAACGCATAGTTAACAAAAATGTGATTGTTATTTTCTTCCTTTGAATCACATAACACACAGATATTTTGAATTTGCATAACCTTCTCGATCAAATCATCTTTTGTATTCAATCTTTCATTTATAGCTAACCAAAGAAGGATTTTGATATTGAGAGGAACAGGAACACACCATATACTTTCATCACTGCACCTCTTATATACCACCATCACATGAGAGCACCTCATATATACCACCATCACATGAGAAGTTATAGAAAGTTTTGAAACTTATGATCCCGCTTCCATAATCTCTTAATCTTTTCTCCACTAAAGGCTGAAATACCAATTTAGCGTATAAAGTGACACACTCTGACCAATAAGGCCTAAAAAGTGACGCCGACGACAATAACACCTATAAATTAACACAGTTAACCAGTTAAACCTATTCTGGTGACCAAAATTTTGGTTTGACCACGAAAAATATAAAATTTTTGCATATATACCTCTCATATCTCTCACATTTACATATTTACCCCCTAAAATTTAAAATATTTATAAGAATTTCCACTTTCTCTCTACCCCTCCCTCCCTCTTCCATCCCCCCCAACCATCATCTCCTTCATCCTTTTCTTCTCCAGGGGATAAAATCCTCTCCACTTTCCTCCTTCCCAAAATATTTCATCCCGTATTGTCTCCTTCCCAAAACACACACACATTCTCTCTCTCCCCCTCCCCTCTCCTCATCTCTCTCTCCTACCATCATCTCCTTCATCCTCTACTTCTTCTCTCCATCTTATTCTCTCTACTTTCCTCCTTCCCAACATATTTTCTTCCCAATTTTCTCCTTCCCAAAACTCTCTCTCCCTCCCTCCCTCTCCTCCTCCCTCCCCCCTCTCTCCATCATCTACTTCATCCTCTTCTTCTCTCCTATCATACCCCCTCTTCTCTTTCCTCCTTCCCAAAATCCTCACCGTCACATCCTCCTCTCTCTCATCCACCCATATTCCTCCCCTTAACCTCTCTTTATTCTCTCATCTCAGTCTTCTCCTCCCTTTCCTTTCTATTCTCTCTCCCCTCAAACACTAACTTAAAAGTGGAGAAGGAAAGTGAGGGTAGTGGGCAGAGAGAGGTTAAAAAAAAGAAAAAGTTAGGTTTTTATGTAAATATTTTATCTTCGAGGATAAATTTATAAGTGTGAGAGATATGAGGGGTATATATGTAATTTTCTTGCACAAATCAAAGTTCCAGCGACTAGAGTAGGTTTAAGTGGTTAACTATGTCAATTTGTAGGTGTTATTATCGTCGTTATCACTTTTTAGGTCTCATTGGTTAGAGTGTGTCACTTTTTAGGCTAAATTGATATTTTAACCCTTCATCTCTGAATCTTTTGTAGCAGGTCTAAGTATTGAAAAACTAAATCTCCTTATAATTGTCTCACAAATTTAATACTCTACACTCATATGTTGTCAACATTTTTCCTCATAGAAGCAACAGATGCTTTTGGTTTCTCTTTCATTATATTATTTTTAGGATGATTAATTGTAATTTGTTGGACAAATTCATACTTTTATGTCTGAAAAATCACAATCTTTCTGAAAGTAGTTGATGAGTATGGTTCAATAAGATGACTGTTTAGTACAGCTTTGTTTTCCAAAACTGATTCTAAAGCAGGTGATCACATTAATTTGTATATTAATTCCAAATTCTAAACAATGCATTGAAATTTTGATACCATGGTGTTTTCCTTGTTGTGTTTTTGTAAAACAACATTATAGTGTTGTGTTTTTCCGTTAAATTGTTTTCAAAACACCATATTGAGTGTTTTTGTTCAACACTAGTTTGACCCATTACAACATTAGTATTAAACATATTATTAATATATTATATATTAGTTATAATAAAATACATTATAAATAAAATGTTATAATATTTAAATTATATTATTATAGTATTAAATATTAATAAATATAATATTAATATAATATTATTATATATTGTAATGAGTTATATGTATATTAACATTATACATATTATTTTTAATAATCATATATATTAATTATTTTGGATATTATTTGTTATTTGTATTATATTATATAATATTTTTAAACAATATTATTTATTATTAATACAATATGTTATAACTCTCGTTAATATAACATATAATGTTCATAAATAATAATTAATTTATGTTATTACTAGTATATTGTTAATAAATTGATATATTATAAATATTTTAATATATACAATATATATATTACAGTTTCTAATATGTTTAGAGTTTATTAACAATACTTTAATAATATATTAAATACTTATGATATAGCATAAATATTATTATATATGAATATATTATTTTTACATAAACATCTGTTAGAATATAAATTATTTTAGCTATTAAAAATTATTTTACTTATTAAATTATTATATTATATTTACATAATATATATATTTATATATTATTATTACATTTACTATACAATATATTTATATAATATTATAATTCTATTATTAAATAATGGTTGCTATAATAATCTTTTATAATTATTATTTATTTACAAATTTATTTTATTAAAACTTCAATAATATTATTAGTGATTATACATATTGTAAGTATATTATTATCATCAATTATATTATTATTATTTATTATAGCCAACCTTTTTATTTTTTTATTAGTTTATTTATATTTTATTATTATTTATTATTATATAATTCATTATCAACATATTAAATACTAGTATTTAATATGTTATTACATTATTATATAAGATATTTTATTTATTATATATTTATATTATTTAACAAATATTACTAGTATATTAGATTAACTATAATATAGTATATTATTGTATAATATAATAAGCATGTTGATAATAACTATATATTAATTATATTTAATATATTATGTTAGATATTATATTAACAACTCATCAAACTCAAAACCAAAACACCAAACTTAAAATACCTAAAAGGTGTTTTAAAATAAGTGTTGTGTTTTTTATTTGATGATGATTTAGCTTAGAAAACACAAAGGTTTCCAAACACATGGTGTTTAGTTTTTGACAAAATACAATAAAAATAAGTAAAACGTCATGGTATCTAAACGGAGCCTTAACTATTTATATAGATTTTTCTAAGAATATGCACTAACTTTATATAACATTTGAATTGATTTAAAATTTATATGATTTTATATAACGTGTCTTCTACGATTTGGCCCCCTCTCCCCGGTGATTGTATTGAGTTTATATTCCGATGCAAGAATAAATGAACTGAAATTTAATTATTAGTACTAACTTTTGTATGTATATATGCAACGATTGTTTGAGTTTGATAATCTTTAAGTTTGATCATCTGCATGGAATGTTGAATGTATAAGCTTGACCCATGATCGATCATCCTTAATTGATACATGCCCGTGATTTTTATTAATTATATTTTTTGGTAAAAAGTTACGCGCACACATATGTATTAGGTGTTGGAGTTGGCTCAATTTCCAACTCATTTATTGCTGCAGTTTTTCTGCATGCAGATACAATTTTCTATGGTCTTTTCGGGCATGATGCAGTCATTATTTGGCTCGGAAATCTACATGAAAGTTGTAGAGGTGCATTTATATTTTACTCAAAGTTTTGAATCACAGGAAACGAAGTAGTATTGAGGGAGTTATGGTCAATCAAAGTACCCTACTCGAATCTGGACAGATTTGTGTATTTCTAAACATTTTGCAAGATAAAATGGTTCATCAAGGCCTATAAATAGGCATCCTCTCATTGTGGAGAGATCATCCAAAAATCATCCAAGTTTTTTTCACTTGTTCTCTTGAAAGTATAGAGAGTTAGAGTGAAGGAAAGTCTTTTATGTTGTAGAGATCTCTAGTGTTGAGTTGAGAAAGGAGGGTGTGTGAGGGCTGTGTAGAAGTCGGCGTTGTTGGGTGTGCCGTGTGTGCCTTGTACCCATTTGTTGATTCCATTATAGTAAAGTATCCTCCCAGCTCCAAGCTCAACCCGTGGTTTTTCCCGTTTGGGTTTTCCACGTAAACCATTGTGTCCATTATTTGTGTGATTGTCATTTATCTTTTTTGTCATTAAGAACAAGATCCTGAAGTGGTGTTGAGAAGTTTCGTGATTCGTCAACGCCGACATTAGGGGAAATAACTAGTAACTAAGACGGCATCAGTTCAAGACACGAGGTGAACAGAGACAAGAACAGTGACAATATATAGCATAAATCTAGCCCAGAGAGAGGAAATGATTGATAAGTTAACATATGAAAGAATGAACTGTAGAATTTACATTCAACAATTACACCCATCTTTTTCTACTCTCTCTGCCTCTCTAACTATGTTTTCATTTTCGATTTTCTCAATCTTTAGCATGCAAGGGAATGAGCAAAATCTTAAAAGAAAACCAGAAGAAACACAACAAATTCAGAAAGCTAAAGCAGCAAAGAAGGAGGTTGATGGTATTATATCGACTATGGTTGGATTAGACGGGGTCAAATTGCAACTTGAGAAATGGATCAAAGGTCTGGTTTTAGATCAGCAAAGGAAGAATCTTGGTCTCGAACTTGGCACAAGAAAGGCTCTTCATATGGCTTTCCTTGGCAATCCAGGAACAGGTACTGAAATTTCGTTCGCTCTCTTTTTTCGTAATTTTTTTTACACAAGGTTAAGTGTATTAGTCTATATTATATAGTTGTGACATGTGTGATGCACGATGACTTAGTATTACAATGTTGTTGCGCACATTAGGATAATTTTATAATCTGAAAAGTCCCTATCCAAAATAAAAAAAACACCAATACAATTTTCTTATTAATTAGAAGAAAAATAAATTAATGAAAACAAATATGTAACATGTAAGTACTGTTTCCAATGTAAACTATTTAATAAATAAGTTAGATATGGTCATAATAGCATCAAAGCTAGAATGACATAGATAATAGTTGTGTTTTTAAGGAAGATAGTTTAGGGATGAGTTACATATATTACATTCATGCAGATAGTGTACGGTTTAGTAAAATAGAGCCACAATCATCTGAATACCATCGGTTAGTTGTGATTAGGAAGGTAGGGATTTCTCTACTGTCAAAGGAGCAAACAGAAAGAGTATCCAATTTCTTCAGGTAATTCTTCCTATCAACTACTAAAAAAATATATATATAAGGGAAGAAAATTGATATTAAAATAAATCAAACTTCAATATGTTTTCTTGAGATAAACTTATAACATCTGCTTATGTTATGCAAAAGCTTAGAACCATTTACATGCTGAAACATGATGAATTTTTTTTTTAAACTACGAGACTCCAGTATGAGGACCTAACCTCCTTCATATATCACATTGAAGTTATTTCTATTCTATAGAACATGACACTATGTTTCTGGCACATTTTCAGGTAAAACTATGGTGGCACGATATCTTGGGAAGGTTCTTCATAAGTTGGGACTCACATCTACTGATAAAGTTGTAGAAGTGCAACGAACTGATTTGGTCGGGGAATACGTAGGCCAAACTGGAATCAAGACTAGGATGAAGGTATCCATATGCATAACTCTGCATTCTATCATTCAAGTCAAATATTTTTGTTTATTAACATGATTAATAACTTCTTACAGATTAAAGAAGCTCGTGGAGGGATTTTGTTTGTCGACGAGGCCTACAAATTGGTACCACATGATATATACGAATTTGGTGTTGAAGCCTTGGAAGAAATTATGACAGCAATGGACGACAAAGACATAGTTGTGATATTTGCAGGTTATAGCAAAGAAATGGAGCGTGTTATTGCTGCAAACCATGGATTTGCAAGGAGGGTCACCAATTTCTTCTACTTTGAAGATTATAGTTCTACAGATATTGCCTTGATTTTGCAGTCAAAGTTTGTAAACCAGAAAAATGGTAGCTATATCTTTGGCTTCAAGCTACATCCGGATTGCACTGTTGATGCGGTGGCTAAGTTGATAAAGGAGCATACAACAGAAGAACAGATGAGGAAAATGAATGGAGGGCTTGTGGATCCATTGCTTGTTAAAGCTTTGGATAACTTGAATTTCAGACTGAATGAGGATTGCTCAGATTTGGATGCTTTGATGACAATAACAATGGAAGATCTAGAGGAGGGCCTTAAATCCTTGAGTTCTAACGAGAAGGAAATTGTTCTCCCAGCAATGTATATCTAAATACAAAGTGTCACTTTTATGCTATAGATTCTAAACTTTGAGTTATTAAACTTTGAAGAATTATTTAAAAAAAGTTTCAGTTTTCTTGTTTTTTTCCTGACACATCATCTGCTCTATATTAGTTGTGAAGTTTAGTATAATCAAAAGAGCTTCCCTTGTATTGATAAGATAAATATCATGTATGTATACGTGTAGTTTGGGCTGTGAATATGAGAACAATTACAGGCTGTTGAGAGTGGTAGGATATGGTAAGAATGGCTAGGAGTTGTTCTTAGATATCTCAAACTCATTATGGGTTTAAAACTGAGAATTCGGATATAAAATAGCAGAATTAAAAAATTATTTTTCCCCTTGGTAAATAAATCTGCCATTTTTTCCTTAGAAGAAACATATGACAGATTAAAACTACTGGTAACATGCTCTTGCAAAACCACATAAGACAATCCACCTCAATAAATTTGATGCAGTCATGGAATACCTTGAAGGGATCTTGAGGCAAAGAGAGAGAGCTTTGCATTAACAAAGGCGAGTGTTCTGCTTTCTCAATCTTGTTCTTTCAAAATTTTATATTTTGGATCTTGAGTTTCTCTATCTTTTGAATCAGAAAATATTTGGTTTGGTTGCATTCAATTTTGTGGGTTTGATGAGGGTAGGATCTCCCTAAGAGGTGAGATGAGATCATACAATCTCTTTCAAGGGGAAAGACAAGTTTTTGTAGGAAATCGATAAAATGCATGTTTGTGAATTTTTATTGAACTTTCATTGGATTTTCTTGTGGGTTTTATTTTAAGCTAGTTTGGGTGTTTAGGATGTGAAAAGAAGAGGTTTGATAAGAGGTTGTGCCTAATTTGGGATAAAGGCGAGCTCGAGAGCTCTATTGGTGGATTTTGACATACTTGATTTTTGGTGATGAAACTTGTTTGAGTTAGTTCTCCTTCATAGTACAAACCTAGGTATCTATTGGTTTAATTTGATTGAGTTTTGGAAAAGTTTTGGATAAAAAAATGTATCGAGCTTGAGGCTTCCAGAATGAGCACACACGCGCGATTATGTGCAGTGCGCATGCTTAGGACTTCTGGACAATAGTTTTGACTGTATGGTTTGAGGGCACATGCCCAAACAATGAGATTATGAGAGCATGCACTCGAGCTAGATTTCTTAGATATATTATTTTATTAGGTTTTTAACTTACTTGAAGTGGCGGTGGGTAAACGCACGTGCCTCATATTAACAACATGCACTCCACTTAGATAAATAGATTTATTTATTTTTTTCTTCCTTTTTTGACTTTGATCAAGTTTATTCTTGGAGTTGTTAGGGCTCTCATTCATGAATTATGATATCAGAATAGATGTTGTACTTGTTCTTGCCATCTTCAGGTGATAAAGTTTTGATTCAAGTGAGCACAGCGACGTACGAAAACGAGCGAGGACGTTGGATTTTCATGAACAGTTGAGGCATTTTGCCATCTCGTGACCACATTTCCCCAGACCCTCACCCTCTCTCTTCCCAAACCCATAAGCCATCTCGTGACCCCTATTCCCCAGACCCTCACCCTCTCTCTCCCCAAACCCTCCTCCCTCTCTCGTCCCAAACCCTCCTCCCCCTCCCTCTCTCGCTCGTGACCCCATGTGCGCACCGCTGACACACTCTACTCGACCTTGTTCCTACCGCCATTAAGTCCCGGCCCGCTCAACAACTTCGAAATCGCGAACCCCGACCCCACCGCAACGGCACTCCGCCGACACGAGCCCCAACTTCGCCACACCCAGATCGAGGTCCTCTCAAAGCCTGCGATTTTCTTGATTTAGGGCTTTTTGATCTTGAAATTTAGAGTTTTTTTTATTTCTTGCTTGATTTAGGGCTTTTTGATGATTATTGTTGGCTTTTTGATAAATTTTGGATATATGGGGCAGAGATGGATGTTATTGAGTGAGCTACATGTTGATGCACCTTCAAAATTAGATTATATACAATCAATTTACTTGATACACTCCATTCATTTTTATTTATATGATTCGGATAGCAAGGAAACCAAGAATTAGGCATATTAGGTTTATTTATTAATGCATCAAGTGATAGTAAAATTAGCGTCTTTATAACAACACAACCAAAGAGACAATGAAAAATATATGTTAAAAATATTCAAATGTCATAATTTTTATTGTGTAGATATTTTAAGACATCTAGATCATGATGAATGGAGCGGATCGTCCATTGAAATAGCTCAATCCATACATTGAGAAGTGCATCTTTAGATTCAACCTAAGGTAGCTCCTTAGAATCATATTTCTATATAACTTGGCGAGAGGAGGGGTGAGGTTTTGGGGAATTCGTTTTGAGAAGGCTGAGGCGTTGTGATGGGGCTCTGAGTTGGGAATTTCGTTTTGAGAGAGAG